GTGCGTGTGGCCATAAGACGTCAACGTCCGCCGCTAGAAAATATAGCCTTAAAAGTCAAACATTCAGTCGCATATTCAAACAAAATGGAACATTTAGAGGATCTGCATTTCAACCAGACTGATAGCGGTGATAATTACAAGGTTATGGTGCTGAATGTGACCCATCAAATGCCGAACTACCCCGGGTAGGGGTACATTCGGCGATTTTGACTTTTTTTTTGCAAAACTGTAAAAATTTTTAAAAAAATACTAATTTATTACCTGTTTTAGTATAATAATTAAGTATCAGACGACAATAGCCAGACATAAAGTTTTAATATCTGTTGAATAAGTATTGAGATATAGAGTGCCGAATGCACGTTCATCTGCAGGCCGTTTGAAAATCGGCCAAAATTTCATATCGAGAATGGGGGGTTGTTTCCCTTAATATAAAAAAATTTCTTGCAAATCCCTATGTCTTTTTCACAATAACATTTCAATCTTACCATTTCATCCCTTTAAATATTAATAAAAATTTCATTATTGTTTTTTATATTTTAAAATAATTTATTATGGATTTTATTTCGAAATACGTCTTTCTTTGTTTGTTGGTTTTGTCTTATTGTTGTTATTATTAATTATTGTTATATTATTCACATAAGTGTGGGTGTGTGTTTTTATATTTATGTATAATATTCTCTATATTTAATAATTTTATATTTGCATAATGATCCTTGACAAATTAAACTTAGAACTTTTTGTGATTTGATCGAATTTTACAAACAACAACAAAAAGAAAAAATAACTTCTAATAGATCAAAACACATACACGCATTTAATTATTTAAATATATATAAAAAAACCATAATATGTATAATAAAATAGTTTTGTTTTCTTTTCGATTTGTGTTTTTGTTTTGTTTGTTTGATTTGAATGGATGTTTTTTTGTTTGTTTGTACAACTATACATAGATACAATTTTATTTAATTACATTAGATTATCAAGTAACACTAGAAGAATTTGTTGGTTTTTGTTTTTGTAAATAATTTATAAACTTATATGTGTATAGAGGGTTGTGTGTGTGGTTCGTTTGTTTGTCGTTATAGAATTTGTGATTTTATTCTTGGGCATTATTTTTTTTACATGTTTATATAATAGTTTTAAATATCAATTTGTTTTCTTTCTTTTTTGGCTAATAATATTTTACAGAATTTCTTTTTTAAGGGACTACAAAACAATTGGGGAAGCCAAGCGGTGTGTTCTTTAAATAGTTTTTTTTTATTTTTTTACATTTTCTTATTTTTTATTAATTTTTTATTTTCTAAAATATTTACAAAAAATATCATCGATCAATAAAGAAAAAAAAACAACAACACAAATTTGCGGGTTATCCACGTCAAGTGATACTCTGGCTACTGCTGTTGTTTCGGCTTCGTTTATTCTTCGACCAATTCAATCAAACGTGGTCCAATTCTGCATACCCGTCGTTGTAAGGCCATTCTGCTGGGATGATGTCGTACCGGCCATGGTTGTGGCACTGGTACTTGTCGCTGTTACAGAAGTCGTTATTAGTGTAAATTGATCAAGACCATATTTTCGCAATAATTCAAAATCTTCATCGGGCGGTGGCATAGGAGGTGGTACCGATTTGGGTAAAGGTGGTGGAATTTCGGAAGATGGTGTCGGGGGTTGATGCTGCTGCATTAATGTTGTTGCTGATGTTGTGGGTGTTTGGATCCTTGTTAGGGGAGCGTGTTGTTGAGCCGTCATAGATGTAGCCATATGCTGGGGTGTATAAAATGTATACAATGGATTACTTATACTATTATTGGCCGCTGTTATAAAGGAAGCTGTTGGCTGGTGCTGCTGCTGATGGCTGGGTGTGGTTCTACTAGTAGCAGTGGCTGGCAATGTTGTCGATTTACTGTTCATACCAACATTGCCACCAAGCGGGGGCAAAGGACGAGCATTCTGATTCAATGGATCAAAATCCTCCAAATCAAAACTACTATTGTGACTATCGTCCAGCGATATTAGATCTTTCATTGACTCTTCGGAAGCATTAGAATGAGAACCGGCATCGGTACTAGTGGTATTTGCGCTAGCAATTGTGGTGGTCGTTGTATCATTAAGGCCCAGTGTCATATGTTGGGGCTGTAGAGAACGCAAGGACTTTTAAAGAGAGAGTGAACCATAACGGGGGAAAAAAGAGAGACATAGAGAGGGAGAGCCAAAGAGAAAGATTGGAAGCAAAGCCATAAAAACATGAAAAATAAAAAAGAAAAAAAAAACAAATTTTGGTTAGTTACTGGTTGGGTTGTTTTTGTTTTGTTTCTTTGTTGTTGTTATCAAGCAAAAATTAAAAAAAACACATAAAAATATTTGTTGTTGAATAAAACCAAAACATTTTTACAGGTAATTTGGGATTTTTCATTAATAATTTTAAGAAGGCCTACATTTTTAAGACTCGATTAATAATTCGCAACTGGAAGGTAGATCAATAACTCCGTGAGTTTCGCCATTCCCTTGCAGGGTTAGCCATAACATTTGAAAACGCTTCTAGGATCTTCAAAGTACCTACATCGACCTAAATTGAAGACCAGTGATACAGAGACAGTCAACAAATTAGGGTAAGTGAGTTACGAGTGGGTTCTCCAAAAATAACTTGGAAACCTACCTCAGCATCTAAACCAAAGAAAGACTAGATAAAATGACACATCCAAAGATATGTCGACACATCAAACCCAAAAGGGAGCAACAGAGGTTTTGTGGAAGTTTGAAAGGGAGTATAGGCAAAATTTGATACCCTGTCGAGGAGTCCATAATATTCCTACCCCGCATAAATTGGATACCCCTATCGAGGACTCCATCAAGGTGACGACAGAGGAAACCCTCAAGCCTGTTCATATCAATGTCAACTGGGAAGCTGCTTCAAAGGCAAATAAAAAGCCATCAGAACCTATGGCTATGATGAAGATGAGACCTAGTCTAGGTTAGGAAAAAAATTAATACGAATTAAAGAGTTTGGATCAAATCGAATATTCATACGTTTGATATTGAATTAAACAAATTTTCAAATTTTTGATCGCTTGTGGGTGAAAGAGTGGATCGATGGGTCCCATCTTCGGATATAATATAGGTTTGGTAAAAAAATACGATTTGCAAAGTTTGGACATTCCAATCGTTTTGTATTGAATTAACAAAATTTCAAAATTGTGTTTCTTGTGGGGGAGGTACAAGAAGGAGTGGACCAATGGGTCCCATCTTCGGACGTAATCTAGGTTTGGTAAAAGTATTACGATTTGCAAAGATGGAATAAAGTCGGATATTTTATATTCGTTTGATATTGAATTAATAACTTTTCAAATTTTTGAACCTTTGTGAGGGAGATACCAGAAGGAGTAGACCGATGGGTCCCAGCGTACTTGATCTAGACAAGGTAAAACTATTATTATGTGCACAGTTTGCATCAATCGCTTGGTAAATTAGCAAATTTTTAAAATTTTGATCATTGTGAGGGAGGTACCACAAGGATTGGACCGACGGGCCCATCTTCGGATATGATCTAGGTTGGGAAACAATAACACGATTTACAAAGATTGGATCAAATTGGAAATTCCATTCGGTTGATATTAAATAAACAATATTTTTAACTTTTGATCCTTTGTGGGGAAGGTACTAAAAGGAGTGTACCGACGGGTCCCATTTTCGGACATGATCTAGCTAAGGCGAAAATTTTATGATGTACAAAGTTTGGAACAAATCGATCATTTTATTAGTTTGATATTGAATTAACAAATTTTTAAAATTGTGATTCTTTGTGGGGGAGGCACGAGAAGGAGTGGGTCGATGGGTCCCATCTTCGAACATAATATGGTTTTGTAAAAATAATTCGATTGGCAAAGTTTTTATAAAATTGGATATTTCATTCGTTTGATATTGAATTAACAAATTTTCAAAACATTTACCGTTTGTGGGGGAGGTACCAGAAGGAGTGGACCGATATCCTCCATCTTGGAACCTAATCTAAGTTTGGAATAAATATTACGATGTGCAAATTTTGAATGAAATCGGTTACTCCATTCGAGAGTTGTCGTGCCGGACAGACGGACGGTCATTTGAAAATCAAATACAAATTGTCTGAAACGGATTTAGTCCAAATAAACATAGGGTCTCAAACCAATATTTCGATGAGGCACATTTTTACGGTAAAAAAGTTTGCCATGAGGCTGAGGGTATAAAAAGTTCCACCAAGTGATACGTCTTCGGAGAAACCTTTAAATTCAAAATCAAAACGCATTAAACGGGGGCTAATCTACATATGGTCCCGAATGACATGTCTGATCCAGTCCAGTGATCGTATGATTGCTACTAAGAACATCTACTTCTCGGACGAGGAGGGCCCATCGCATGTACGATCCATATATATCCATGTAGATATCTTATTTGGAGACAGGTGCTGGGAAGTAGGAGGGTTTTTATGAGACTAGGAAGTGTGCAAATGGTTCAGCACTTCTCTAGCAATGAAATCGAAAGAGACGTGACGGATCTCACACATAGGTTATTCAAACGTCTTACATTAAAAAGATTCCGTAATGAATAACTACCAAAATGGTTGAAGAATTTGGTTGAAATCTTAGGATCCTTCACGATATTAGTTGATAATTAGGCAATTTTGACCCGAACTAAGAATTAAAAGTCCATATATGACAGCTTATATGTAGAGGTAAATAAATGGAACCTTTATACACAGGACCTTCAAAGTAATCTGACCATTAATCGTACAGGTCACAGGATCGGACATAAATCTCTCATCTGTTCATAGATCTCTTACTACCAAATGGCATGATAGTGGAGTTGGCTACTACCTCCTCGGTAGATATGAGATATATACTCAGCTTTGCCGAAAATCCTATGTGGCTAGGCAATACCTATATAATACGATCACAGGGTGCTATTTCTTCTCCGATACCCATAATTAGACAGCGGACTGAGGGTCTCCGTGAGATTATATATCAGCGAAATGGGTATAGATCAGTGTTGAACAGAACTAAATTAAGAGTAAGTGTGTGAGAGCGAAACTGAGAGATCATCAACAAAAATGACTGACGAAAAGAGAGGAAAAGAGAAAACGTGTTTAGCCATCACCGCTACCGTACTATTTTGTGCATTAGTGGTATAGATATATGTATATACATTGGATTTACTTTTTTTGGTGGAATTATTTATCTGTCTGTTAAGTTTTATTTTGTCTATATTGTAGCATACTTTCAGGCTGTTCTTTCTTGTTTCAAATACTTATTTTTTTCATTATCCAGAATCGCATATTCTTGACGAAAATGAAATTTGTAACCAAATTTAAAAACTCAGTTACCTTCCAAGTTACCTGTGTAAAAATGTTTTTTTTTTTTACATAATAAAAATACCATAAGCAATCATCCTACAATAGATAAAATATATGTTAGTACACTAAAGAAACATACAAGACAAGGACACATTTTGGAATATTATTTCAATATTATATCATAACACTAATACACTTGCAAAACACACACTACAACTTAGTAAACTAAACTAAAAAAGGAAGAAGAAATTGTTGTTATGCTTTGGTTAATTTTTTCTATAGAAAACACGAAATGTTAATATCTAAAAAAATATATTAAAGAAATTTGTTAGTTAATCAATGATTATGTTAGTTGGGTTTGATGGTGTTAAAAAAGAAGGTAAATTATTGTTATGTAATTAATAATGATGTTGATGATTTGTGATGCATGATTGGTTGATTGTTGAATGGATGAATGGATTGTTGGTTTAATAGGGACAATTACATTTTACTTTATGATGAATGGACAAATGGTAAGGTTAACAGCGGATTTAATTTTGAAGAAAACAAAAAAAATTATATCACTTTTTTACAGAAAATAATATTTTGTTTTGTTTTCATTACGGTTTGTATAAAGTGTTTCTTCTCTTTTGAATGGAAAGGTGGACGGGTGGGCATTCCAGACTTAAATCAGTACGCTATGCCAAATTTCGTGCAAATCGAAAGATATATAGATACTTTGTTGCACCATTTACCTTAAATCGGACGAAAATATATGTGGGAGCTATATCGAAATCTGAACCGATTTTTCCCAATTTCAATTGGGTTCGTCCTTGGGCCAATTAAATGAGCTGTACCAAATTTCATATATTTCGAATCAAAAATGCTTTGTTTACAATTTAACATGGACAGACAGATGGGCAGACGGGGGCCATTTGTGGTGACCAGAAGGAATAGACCAATGAGTCCCATATTTGGACTTTATCTAGGCCTAGTAATGATAATAGGTTGTGTTTGGTTTAAGGGAACCCCCCCCCCCCCCTTCACGATATTAATTTTTCAAGATTTTCAATGGGCTGGTAAATCAAAACCAATGCTTGTTAAGGTTTGTAACTTTACACATATATATTTGAAGATTTAAAAATTAAGAAAAATAATTTACAAAAAATTTTTTTTTATTGTTTTGTTGTTGTTTTTTGTAATTAAAGAAAAGTCCTTATTTTTGATGGCGGGCATGATAACTCCTCACTGGAACATCGGAATCCGAAAATTCCAACGGTGTTAGAAAGAGTACACATCTGGCTCTCGTATGAACTAGGATTATTGACTTCGCTCTAAAATTAACAAAATGGTGGACCTTTGAAAAAATATTTTTGAAAAATCGCCGATTTTTTACCAAATCCCAAGTTAAAAAATAAGGAAGATCTTCACCGATTGGCTTTATCCTAGTTCATACGATAGCTATAGACTAACAGAGAAACGTGTAAAAATTTGAAGTCGATTGGGTTATTAGTTTTTGAGTTATCGTGCCCGCCATTCGCAAAAAAAATGTTTAGAGAAAAACTCGTTTAAATTTTGAGAAACCCTTCAGCCGTCACTTGATGCTGACACAATAAACCGGCTATATCTTTAAGAGTTGTTCAGATTTTTATTTGAAATTTTGTAGGGACATTCTTTAATTAGTGTAGATTCCAATTATATCAACAACATGTTTGACCCCGAGAATGGGGGGGTCCCCTTAAATCGGACATTCTATTCGCCTGATACTGGATTTATAAATATTGAGATTTTTACCATTTATGGGGGATGTACCAGAAGGAGTGGACCAATGGGACCCATCTTTGCACATGACTAAGACCTGGTCCTGATAATAGGTTGTGCAAAGTTTGATTTAAATAGAATATTCCTTTCGCCTAATATTCAATTTATAAATATTGAACATTTTGACCATTTGTGGCGGAGGTTCCAGAGGGAGTGGCCCATTGGTTTCATTTTCGGACTTTTTCTAGGCTTGGTAAAGATACTAGGTTGAGGACAATTTGGTTCAAACGGAACATTCCCCATTCGCCTATTATTGGATTTGTAAATATTGAACATTTTGACTATTTGCGGGGGAGGTACCAGACAGGTGGACCAATGGATCCCATATTCGTACATGCCTGTTCCCAATATATTATAAACTTAACTTAAGCAATCTTGGCCACTTTGTGAGGGAGGTACCAGAAGGAGTGGACCGATATTCCCCATGACCGAACTTGAACTAAGTTTGGAAGAAATATTACGATGTGCATAGTTTGGATGAAATCGGTTACTCCTTTCGAGAGTTATCGGACATTTGTATATCGACTCCAAATTGTCTGAAACGGATTTGGTCCCAAGAAACATGAGGTCTAAAAACAATATTTCGATGAGGCACATTCGTGCGTATCCTCATTAGCCATAAAACTGAGGACATTATAACTTCCTCTTACTTTAAGACGTATGGATTCGAATAACTTTGACACACTCAGAAATGCCACAAGACCAATAAAAATAATGCAAAACTCGGATTCGGACTCCTTGAACCCTCGTTCAACGTAAAGGACGACTTTGCGGCTCTTTTGACAATATTAAACGCTCTCCTCAATTACATTGAGGAACACGGTAGCTTCCAGCTTTATAAGGAAGTGACACGATATTATTTGAATAAATCCCATTTTTTAATATTTACTTGGAAATTTGAAGAACATTATATAATAATTATAGATTCGAATTAAATTGGAATTTTTAACTTGAAATGGGTGGTCTGTGTCTCTCACATTTTACAATGCAGTCCGATTCTATTAAAGACCAATGACATCGAGTCGGAAAAAAAGATATTAGGTATGGGCATGCTGAAATTTTACCTATCAGACCAAAAATTAAATTAAAAAAAAAACATTCCAATCTCTTTCCAAAATAAATAGAGAAGAAAACACTTTTCCCCGATTATCAAAAAAAATCCATTTAGAGACAATTTTACCGTCATTAAGATGAAGAAGATTTTCATTGAATAGATTTCGTTTCATTGGGTATACCTCTTTATCTTTCTTGAGACGTGGTGCCGGTATGGGTGGTTCACAACCCTGTTGCAGTTGTTGCTGTTGCGGTGGTGATGATTGATAAAGTGAAAAACGTGATGCTGCCGTTACAAAAGAAGCACTCGATGAAGATGATGTCGACAGATTCGATTGATTCGACGACGATGATGATGAGCTACGCAATGAATCTTTTTGTAAAAGTTGTGTCTCGGCATAATCTTGCCAACAATTGCGTTCCAAACGTGTTATTCCAGCGGTAACAGCAGCTGCTGTTGCGGCCACGGCTTGGGTTAAAGCATTTATACTCCCCGCATTACCACCACCACTGACACCACTGTTATCATTGTCACTGAACATTGCCATCGAGGAGGAGGCCGAAATGTTGAGTGGTAAAGTTGCCGATTGCTGGTGCAATTGTTGCCTTCGCGGTGGTACGGGCGGTGATAGCATATCCGGTGGTGTGTCATATGACGAATCGGTGGTATGTATAAAACTATTTAGACTATTGTTGGGTGTAGAGGTGGTTAATGCTCGGGGTTGCGGTGAGACAATATTGTGATGTGTTGGATGTTGCTGTTGATGATTGCTGGTGTTGTTGCTGTGGGTAATTGCAGATGTGGTGGTTATGGAGGTCGAATTTGTGGTAATGGTATTGTGGCTTATTATATTGTTATGTATGGTATTGGTGGCATGTTCATGATGATCTGCAGGGGAGGTGGAAGAGGACAGATTTGGTGTTGGCCGTGCCAGGTGTGGTGGTGGTTTACCCTCCACATGGGGATGTGAACCATACGGGTGATTATAATAGGTGGGATTATTTGGCAATTGTTGTTGATGTTGCATTTGCGCCGGCTGTTGTATTAGCTGTTGTTGTTGCGCCTGCGTTTGCTGACTTTGCTGCTGATATAGCTGTAATAGATGAGGTGCTGGTGGTGGTGGCCTAGCTGGAGGTGGTCCTCCTGTTCTTGTGGCAGTTATGCGATGATTAGACTCTAAACTATGGCATGGCTTAAGCTGTTCATTCAAAATCAATTTTCGATTTCGATTTTTTGGTGGGGGGATTAAGTCATATTATGTTTAGATTTTGATTTAATTTTTGTGTGATGGGTTGTTTGGTTGGTTGATTTATTTGCGATTAAGGTAATGAATGTCATGTTTATGAGTTTTTGAACGAAGACGCACAAACGCCCCAAAATGTATGCGAACGAACATAAGACGAACACAATTAAGAGCGAAAATATTTATCATATATAAAAAAGAAAAAAAAAAAGTTTAACAGAAAATTAAAAATAAAGAATTTTTAAATTAAAAAAAAATGTTAATGTGTTATATAGTGGTGATAAAAAATAGCTAATTTTGTTGTTGTAGTTGTATATTATATATATGATGAAGAAAAAACATTTAAAGCGATAGTATTTTGAAAGGAGAACATAAATTGTATAGTATATTTTTAGGCGTAGAAACTAAATCTAAAAAAAATAGTTTTATGGTTAACTTTTGATATGCAGTACCCTAAAATAGGATTTTCTTTTTTAATGGATATTTTTTTCTAAAGTTTGTCTATGACATGATAATGTTGTACTCTATGACAATAACACATCAACATATAGTAAATAATATAACGGAATAATGTTTTAAATAAATATAACCTAATATCTATTATCCCATATCAAGGATCCCTCACAATTTCGTAATCTAATAAAATCGACAACAAAAACAATCCTATAGAAGGTATTTCTGTGTGTTTCAAAAAATACTACAAGTTCTTATTAAATAGAAAATAATTTCAAATATTTTTTATAGTAGATCCCAACCAATATCATATTTTTACAGATAATAATAGAAGTTGAAAAGACTACTTAGCAGACGAGTAGAGTAAATTATTAAACATCTACTGCTAAATCTGAATCCATTTCAGTCAGACTTTTTTCGATACGCTGAGCAATCGAGCAAACATACATAAAATCGGTCGAACATATATATGGGAGCTCTTAATCTGAAATGATTTTAACCAGCAGACATCATTCTAAACTCAATATAATACGCCATGTGCAATTTCGTGTAAATCGAAAGATATATAAGGACTTTGGTGCACCATTTACATTAAATTGGACGAATATATATATATATATATATATATGGGAGCTATATCTAAACCTGAACTGATTTTCACGAAAGTTAACACACGTTATCATAGACTTAATACGGTATGGTATTCCAAATTTTGTCTTAATCGGACAAACACTGGGAGTTTGGTGCACAATTTATATAAAATCGGATGAAAATACTTATGGAAGTTATACCTAAATTTGAATCGATTTCTATGAACCATAACTTAACATGCCTTTTACAAACATATGCACAAAGACATAATACCCTGTACCACAGTGTGGTGAAGGGTGTAAAAATGGGTTCCTGGTCGTTTTCCCAAAAAGAATGAATCCCTAAGCTAGGATGTTATGCGACCTGTTTGCAATCAGGGTACTGACTGTATTCGAACGGAGCCTTATTGATATCGGGGCGCCCCGATGTGTATTAGGTTTAGGGCTTGGTAACCTTGCCATGGTAAGAAGACTATTCCATATTCGACATCTACTCAACCAATGCCCATGGATTCAGAAACTTTTAAATAGAGGCCGTCGTGTATGTCCGTTGATGATGTGGGCCGGCAACAAGCCGGTGCTTCCGAAGCAGCTGGCCACTGAGGTTAAAGGAGTCACGGGTAGTTGGTAGTTGTTACTTAGAAGTCCTCGCAGTCGGTTCCAGAGACCAAAAGTGCCAAAGCGTATCGGAGTGCAAATTGCCAGTGTCTATGATACGTAGATTAGGACCACAACGTAATGGGTGATAAAGAATTCCCCTGGATCAAGAAGTATCTAAAGTTCGTGCCGCAATGTCAAATAATAGCCCCGCCCCTTCGGTTAGATAATGCAACTAAAATCATCAAAATACAGGAAATTGGGAAGTAGTGTTATATGGGGTAATACCAAAACGTGGACCGGTATATGTCACTTTATACTCGTACTAGAAGCAGTAGCAATCTATATCTATTGTTGAAACTATATATAATATTGCGGGTCTATTGTGATTTCAACAGCATAGAATCTAATTTTTCTGCTATAAGACCAAAATGGCTTCTTATATGGAAGAAAGCTCGGAAATTTGTCTAATGAAGAAGATCAGAGAGCTTTATTTTATAGAAGAAATATCAGAAGACATTTTTGCATAAAGGAAGGTCAGAAAACCTGGTTTATTATATGGAAGAAAGCCCGGAAAATGTTCTTATTAAGATCAGATACCCTTCTTTTATAGAAGAAATACCAGACGACATTTTAAAATAAAAGAAGACCAGAAACCCTTTATGCATACATTCAGTTTGCATGTGGAAGAAGACCAAAAGGTCTTCTGGTAAAAACGAAAATCAAAAAACTTTGTTTTGAAGACCAGAAGGATCTCTAGTAATTCCAGAAAACCTTTTTATTAGAATAAAAGAAAATACATTTTTATATGGAGAAAAATCAAAAAAGCAGCGGGGGTATTATTTTAGAAGAAAACCAGTTACTTCTTATATAGAAGAATGCCACAAAAACCTTATGGACAAGGTGATTACAAGGCATTATTCTTCCGAAAAAAATCAGAAACCCTTCCTATAAAGAAGAGTATTAAAATACCTACCCAAATAGAAGACCAAAAGACCATCTCGTTATGAATATGTTTCGAAGAATTTGTAATATTCAGCTTCTTAATAGAATATCAGAAAACCATCTTATTTAGAAGACGATAACGACTTATTGTAACTAATAACACCAAAAGGCAGAACAGCCACAAAAATAATTCTGTATTTAATCAAAAAAGATTGTGGAGATTCACTAAGCGGTGTTTACTTCGAAAAGTAAAATAAATGAACAAATAAACACATTAAAAACAATATTTCCAATTATTTTTCCGCAGGTCTGTGACCCTAATAGATTCCAATTCCAATTAAAGAGGTAATCAGTAAAAATGCTTTCAGGGAGTACTTTTTATGGACCTAATATCATCTTATTTATAATCAAGACTACTAGGACATTTGTAATTTAAAACCAAAATCCTTTAATAACAACGAAGGAAGTCTTTTTTATAGTTAAGAAGATAGATCAGACTTTCTGGACATTTATATAAAAATAAAATGTTTACTTTTACTTTTTTATTTATATTATAAATAACAGGAGCTGATCTGAATTTAAAAATTTCCTCTAGAATTCCAGGACTTCTCTATTTAAATAATATTGAATGATATTAGAACTCTATTCTAAATATGAAAAGCAACATATATAGAAAACCAAAATAACCTATTATAAATAATATAATAAAAAAAGAGATGAGAAGCTTTTCATATACACAATGCTACAAGGTCTTCTTTCATAAAACACACTCAGGCTCTTGGTCTTGCTATAGAAATAGAATGTTCCATACAAGACCTACACTTATAAATGTGGAGATTTAAAATTAAATACAAATATATTTTAATATAAAAAATATGTTACACATTTATCTTACGATATTAATCCATTACATTACATTTAATGTTAGTGGTACCTCCTGCTGTGTTTCCCTTAATTTTTTTCTCAGAGCCAATTGTTCTTCAATTTGTATCTGATCGTTCACAAAAAATGATTAGAGAAATAAACAACCAAACATGAAATAAAAAAGAAAACAGTTTAAAATTTATTTCATTGAAATCAAAAATTATTTTTGAAACAAATCACTTCTATTACCATTAATTGAAAAAAGCATTATCTATATCGGAGGACCAAGGAACAAGATTTTCCGTGTGAGACAATTTGTAACAAATACATATGAAGATGCAGATACAATGAAGAAGATGAAGATAACAAAAGTGCAGATACAAATACAATATATTTAAAAATATTTAAATTGGACAAACTATATATGGGAGCTATATCTAAATCTGAATAGATTTAAATCATACTTGATATACGTTTTTAGGGCTATGCTACTTTTCAAGTGAATCGGATTAGATGCCTTCAGAATATGTATAGAAGTTAAACTAATTCTGAAGGAATCTGAAGAAAAATTGGCAGGCGATATCTAAATCGAACTATTTTAATGTTAACAAGTATCATTATAGACTTAATTTCGTAATTATATATAAAAATTTCGTGTCAATCGGACAACCTTTGGGTGTTTGAGGCACCATTTCCATGAAATCGAAGGAAAATACATATTGCAGCTATATCTAAATGGGACAACCTATCTAAATCCGAATCGATATCAACAAAATTCACATTGTAATACGTCATGCAAAATTTCATCTCAATCGGACAAACCTTCAGAGTTTGGTGCCACCCATTTACATAAAATCGGACGAAAATATTTATTGGAGTTATATCTATACTTGATCCGATTTCAATGTAATTTAACACACGCTTTTATAAATTCAAAACGATATGATTTGCTAAATTGCGTCTTAATCGGACCAACACTGGGAGTTTAGTGCATCATTGTATAAAATCGGTCTAACATATATATTGGAGCTATATCTAAAACTGAAACGATTTCAGCAAAACTTAGCAGATATCATTCTTAATTCGATATAATTCGTCATGGTGTTTTGGTGTGCCATTTAAATAAAATCGGACGGAAATATATATGGGAGCTATATCTAAATGTGAACCAATTTTCACGACACTAAACACAAGTCAGTATAGACTCAATACGGTATGATATTCTAAATTTCGTCTTAATCAGACAAACACTGGGAGTTTAGTGTCCCATTTACATTAAATCGGAAGAAAATATATATATGGGAGCTATATCTATATTTGATCCGATTTCAATAAAACTTAACACACTCTATCCTAGACTCAATTCAATACATTATGCCATATTACGTATCAATCGGACAAGCCTTGGCTATTTTGTGCACCATTTACATGAAATCGGATGGAAATATATATGAGAGGCATGTCTATAACTGTTCCGATTTCAATGAAACTTAACACACTCTGTTATGGACTAATTACGGTATGATATTCCAAATTTCGTCCTCATCGGGCAAACACTGGGAATTTATTGTATAATTTGCATAAAATCAGAGGAACATATAAATGGGAGCTATATCTAAATCTGAACCGATTTCAACGAAACATAGCAGACATCATTCTATACTCAATATAATAAGTCATACAAAATTTCGTCTAAATCGAAATAAATTTAGGGGATTTGGTGCACCATTTACATGAAATCGGACGAAAATATATATGGGAGCTATATCTAAATCTGAACCGATATTTCCCAATTTCATTAGGGTTCGTCATTGGGCCAAATAAATGAGCTGTGCAGAATTTCAGCCAATTCGGATAATAAATGCAACATGTACTTTGTTTATAGTATGGACAGTCAGACAGACGGGCGAATAGGCGGACATGCATAAATCGACTCAGAAAGTTATTCTGTGCATATTCTCCAAAAAAACCATAAGTCCATCTTCTTCATTTTTATATGTTACAAATACATAACAAAAGAATATAATACCCTGTAACTCAGGTGTGATGTAGGGTATTTTTTAAAAATCCTCCTAAAAGTATGCAAAGATTTTGACACCGAAATTCAATCCTCTGTAACACTACAATATTCTCTGGACCTTCTATTAGTTTTGTTGTCGATTTTATAGATAGATAATCTATTCATATTCTATATATATATATATATATATATGTGATTTTCTAAACCTAACCTAAAAAACTGTTTATAATTTTATATATAATAATTATAACCTACATAAAATAGTCTATAAACAAAGACGCACACAAACACGTGGACAAAGCTCACAACGAAACAAATAAAAAAATAACAACACACATTTAACATTTATATAAAAAATGTATACATGTAATATGCGCGAAAACGTTTAATATATAAACATATAAATGTAGGTATGTATAGCCATTACACACATACTCAAAAATGTATACTTACACTTCGATCCACAATGGGTGACTTGAACAGCGGATGATTTTGCAATTCCTGTGACAAATTCATTTCCGACGAACACAACGAACTCGCCGGACTAATGGTAGGAGATGAAGCCAAATGATGATTGTGATTAAAAGAAATCGGAGAAGATTTCGCATAACCATTCGACTGTATGTGCGTACTGGAATTTGACATGGCCAGCGCCGTTGGGCCGCGGCGCAGATGTTGTGAAGCATTGCTGATTTGATCTTTGGGAGCATATTGGAATACGGCAGCCGATGAGCTGCCAATGCGTTTGCAGAACACGGGTGAACTGGGTGCCGAATGGCGTCCCAAATAGGTTTTCAACGATTTCGAGGAATCTTTGCTGTTGCCACTCGATGAGGTTACATAACCGCTGCCGACACTGACACCATCCAAACGATCGTGTGGTGTATTCGAATTGAGGTGGGAACGGAAATTGTTGTTGTTGTGGTGGTTGTGATGTAAATGTGAGGATGATGACGGATTTGGTGGTGTTATATCACGTAATTTCGATTTGAGATCTTTGTAGGCGTGCTTGGCCACACGAGAACTTTCTTTGACCTAATTCACAGAGAGCGAATTTTTTCGATTTTGGAATTTTCGATGTGGTTGGTGGTTGTTGTTGATTAATATGCAAAATAGGGAAAGAAATTATAATACAAAAATGAAGGTTAATATTGATAATCGCTTTGTTTGTGGGAAAGGATAGGAGGATAATAATAAGGATTTATTTGAGATTAGTATTACTTTTTATTAATAATAATGGTAATGAAATAGGCTGATATATAACGATTTTTAGTTGTGATGTTAAATTTTACAAATACTTGACAAGCTATAGAGAGTTAATACAAATATTATCATTGCTACCACTAATGAAAGAGAAATACATACGAATAACAATACTGATACTATAACGATATATAAAACTAAATACATATACGTTTTGTATGTTTGATTGTTTTTTTTTTAATACCACTCACCGATTTTACAGCGGACTTAACAGCAGGATTAGTCTGCAAAAATGTGAATTATGTTTTGATTTGATTTCGATTTTTTTGGATAAATATTTTTTAAGATGATGCAATGTTTTTTTTTTTTTTGGGAAAGGACATTCAAAAGGGGATAATGATGCAATCGGGTTTTTGGTAGGATGTGTATGTGTTTTTATTGTTGTTGTTGTTGTGAAGAATGTGTGTGTATAGCAAACAACAAGCAGAGTAGTAGTAGTAGGCAATATTTTGTTTATATTCGTCAACGAACAAGCGATCGATCGAGCGTACGTTGTATTGTCGTTTCCGCACCGTATTACAGTAGTTACACAATAAATATGAAAAGAATATAGAGAAAAAATAAAAATATATATGAAAATTATTTGCTTACTATTTCTATTCTATTTGCTTGAAATACTTTATAAAATTAATGTTGATGGAATTATTGTGATTTTTTGTCTCGAATTATTTGAAATGATAATTATAAATGATGCTTGACATTAACCTTGATGGTATGTGTGATTGGTGTAATGGTCAGTGAAAAGCCTTAAAATTATTTCCCCAATAAATAATAGTAATTATAAGAAATAATAATACCAACAATAACAGTAATAACTACAATTTAAATATGTAACCCAAGCATGAATGGTATGATAAGCAGCGTAAATGAGTAAATAATAGCGGTCGCGTATCTCATCATCATATACCACCTTCACCAAATTAATAAATAATAATAATATTCTGTGGATAGAACAGACATATCTCTGGGGGACTATTGAAATGGAATCGGAAAAAAATTTTAATTTTTTAAAAACGTGGGTGCACCATTTAGATAAAATCGGAAGAAGATATATATGGAGCTATATCTAAATCTGATCCGATTTCAATGAAATTCAACAGACATTATTCTATACTCAAATCAATACGCTATGCTAAATTTAGTTTCAATCGAACTAACATTGGAAGCTTGGTGCGCCATTTACATAAAATCGGACGAAAATATATAGGGGATCTATATCCGATTCGATTTTAATTCAACTTAAAACACTATATTCTATGCTCAATTCCATACGCTATGTCAAATTTCGTGTCAATCCGACAAACCTTGGGAGTTTAGTGTATCATTCAGATAAAATCGGATGAAAATATATATAGGAGCTATATTTATATCTGATCCGATTTCAATGAAACTTAACACACTTTATTCTATACTCAACTCAATACGCCATGCAAAATTTCGTGACAATCGGGCAAACCGTGGGAGTTTGGTGCACCATTTAAATAAAATCGGACGAAACTATAGAAGAAGCTATGCCGAAATCTAAACCGATGTCAACAAAACTTCATATAAGTCTATCTGTCAATACGTTATGCAAAATTTTATGTCAATCGGACAAACCGTAGGAGTTTGGTGCACAATTTAAATAAAATCGGATGAAAATATATATGGGAGCTATACCAAAATCTGAACCGATGTCAACAAAACTTCATATACGTCAACCTGTACTTAATTCAGTACGCTGTGCAAATTTGTTTGTTAATCGGATTGTTTGGTAATGGGAGTTTGGTGCAACATTTAAATAAAATCCGACCAAAATATAAATGGGAGCTATATCTATATTTGATCCGATTTGAATGAAACTTTACACACTTTATTCTATTATCAATTCAATACGCTATGCAAAATTTCGTCTCCATCGGACATACCTTGGGAATTTGATGCACCATTTACATAAAATCAGATGAAAATATATATGGGAGGTATATCAATAACTGTTCCGATTTCAATGAAATTTAACACACTTTATTCTAGAATTAATACGGTATTATATTTTAAATTCCGTCTTAATCGTACAGAAACTGAGATTTTAGTGCACCATTTACATAAAGTCGGACGAAAATATATATGGGAGCATATCTAAATCTGAACCGATTTTTACGAAACTTGACACACGTCATTGTATACAAATTTAATACAATATTCGAAATTTCGTGCAAATCGAAAGACAAATAGGGACTTTAATGCACCATTTACCTTAAATCTGACGAAAATATATATGGGAGCTATATCTAAATCTGAACCGATTTCAACGAAACTTAACACACATCATTCTAGACTCAATTCAGTACGTTATGCCAAATTACGACTCCATCGGACATACCTTGGGAATTTGATGCGCAATTTGCATCAAACCGGATGAAAAAATAAGTGAGAACTACATCTAAATCTGAACAGATTTTCTTCTATTTCAATAGGGCCAAATAAGAGGGGTGCACCAAATTTCATCTCATTCGGATCATAAATGCGACCTGTACTTTGTTTACAATTTAACATGGACAGACGGACGGGCGGACATGCATAACTCGACACAGAAAGTTGTTCTATGCATATCCTAAGAAGTAACCATGGGTCCTGAGAAGTAATCCTTGTGGTGTTGCAAATCTCCCACTAGGCGCGTCTTCCCGGGAGGCGGATGGTTTGCAGGGTTGAAACCGACCTAGGACAATTTAGCCGGACTGGGGTAGTTCCCTTAAATAGTTGACTAAGATGGAAAAAAGAACAGGAAAAATAAAGCTACAGTGCAGGGATTTAGTCAAGACTAGCAAAAAACAGTCTTCGATAGACAGGACCACAGTTTTTGGCGGGGACGACGTACATGGTATCCTTAGCGAGCTCTTCAATCAGCTGGACAGACTTGTGCCGGAAGAGCATATTGGGGACATACTCCAGGAGGAACTGCTACAAAAGCTAACCCTAACTGATGATGAGATGGACACCACGGTAATTCCGGCCAAGTCTACTCAGAAAGATTGACGGACAGGAACGCAGTTTTGGGCGGCTACGACCTACATGGGACCCTTAGCAACTCTTCGATCAGCTGGACAGACTTGTACCGGAAGATCAAAGTGGGGACATACTCCCGCAGGAACTACTAAAAAATCTAACCCTAACTTAGGATGAGCTGGACACCACGGTAATCCCGGCCATGTCTACTCAGGAAGATTGTTGTGGTTCTAACGAGTGTAAATCTTGTTGTCCAACCGAAGACAAATCTGACTCTGTCTGGTCCTGTGACGGCACATGCGGACAATAAGCTTCAGAGGCAGACTGTAACTGAACCAATCTTCGACGGGGGAATCTAACAAGACCCCGACAACGGTGAGCGAAACGAAGGTCGGAATTGCCCGAGATGCATCTGGGGAATCTAACGAGATCTCGATAACGGTCAGCGACACAAAGATCGGAACTTCCCGATATGCATCTGGTGCGAAGCACTATAAACGTCATATCGTATCTTCGCAAGTTGGTAGGACGAGATGCAAACTTGCTTTCGGAGAGGGAATTTCACCACATCAGGTGTAAGATGAAATTGTAGGGAAATTCGAAATAACCTATCCGCACACTTTTCATCAAGAGCTCCAGATGGAGAGAATTTTCCTCCCAAAATAAATAGTTGGTTGGCCAAACTTCTAAGGTAAATCGGGAAACGAGCAAATTAGTAGAGTCGACGAAGCCCATGCCTCTGACATAGGTGTGGAACCGCAATCCGATCCTTATGGTAGAATCAGCGACAATCACTACTTCTATATAGGGGTCTATGATCCGAAACGACCCGAATCTTACTCGGCCCACGTCTGTCACCTCAACCCGTTGCGTAGAAGCAATAGGGCTGCTACAACAACAACAACTTCTATATATTAGGTTGGGGAAAAAGTCGTCCAAAATGTCGATAAAATCGGAGAAATTGTCGAAGTTGATCGGCATGTTAGCAGTCGTAACATCTCCCAGAAGCTAAAAATCGACAATAATCAACCATATATACAAAGCAGTATTCAAAAAGAAGTTCAATGTTTGGGTGCCACACCAATTAACAGAAAAAAAAATAGGATGGATCGAATTTTCCTAGACAATGCTAGGCCACACACATCTACAGTGACTTGCCTGAAACTTCGGGAGCTTGGTTGTTTATTGCATCCGCCCTACAGCCGGGATCTTTTTCTTGCATTGCAAAATTTCTTTAATGATAAAAAATTTG